TCCTGCTTGCTGCACCGTGGTTTTCTCTCCTGTGCCTTGCCRGAGATTCCAGCTTCAGGGGTGAGCTCTGCTCCATCCCGTCTCGCAGCTGCGGGATTTCTGCTCGTCTCTTTGCCATCCTGGGTTTCTTGCTGTCCAGAGGAGCACCGAGATCGGCGTTTCCGCTGTGAGTTTTGCAGAGAAACTTTTCTCCATCCACCTCTGCCATTTTGTGTCAATCATTGGCGCCGCGGGAGATCTGAGCCAGCCGGGACCTGCGCCACCGCATCCCCTGCAGCCACCGGAGAATCGCTGCACAATAATAGATTTTAATGACAGAGCCACTATGCTCTATCAGTGAATTTTAAGGCATAAGTGCCATTTATAGAGCTCTGTTGTTATTAATAGCATGTTTATTAAGACAAAATCAATTGTTAAAAAGTCTTTCATGAAGGAGAAGGACATAAAAGCCTGTGAAATTATGGTGATAGAGAAAAAAAGAAGATCCTATTCTACCATCTTAGGTCTTTATGTTGTCATATAAAAACATTCTCTATCACGATAAGAAAAACAATGTTGTATGCCAGAAACTGTGGGTGTGCAGAAGTAATTCGCTCTGGCAGTGATTTGCTTTGCATTTTGGGTATAAACCAGAAGAGGGAATTGATTTAATATAAGGAACAATACTCTGTATTATACACTCATGCCCTGTCGAGAAACTTATGGTTGTGGTTGTAACAAATATGACAAAATAATAAATAAATCAATTGCATGAAAAACAAATTTCTCATTGTAATAAAGAAAAATACTGGTATGCAGGAACATCTGTTTTCAAGAAAACTAAAGACAAAATAAAATATTCTTCCAGAAAAGAATGAAAAATGCTTTGCTGACTGGAAAATAAAAAAATAGAGAAGAATCAACAAAGACTCTCAAATAATCTCTGCTTTCCAGGATTACTTGTTGCAGCAAAGCACTGTATTATTGGGTTGAAAAAGCTGATCACCTGGGTGAAATAATTCCTGAAATCAAAACTGAGGTCAAGCTTAGCCATCAGAGCCAAGCTCCATTTCTCCTTAGCTCAAAACAGAACTTGTAACTTAAACTACTGAAATTCTGCAAGAGGAAAAAAAAATATCCATGTAGAAATAAAATGTCATCAGCTAAAGGACCAGTGATGCAAGTAAGGGCAGGCTCATGCAGTTCTATCAAATGAAAAAATCCCACAACTGTTCTCACAGTCAATGTGGCTTCCACACCCATTTCTTCAAAAGCAAATCTCAAGTTTTTTTTAAAAATAAGTCTGTACTTAAATACACACAAAGTGATAGAAATTTGTACATATAAACAGAACTTTAATCTCCAGCCTTACACATAAATATCTGTAAACTCAGTAATTTTAGTAAGTAAAACAATGTTTTGTTACTGAAACTATATTCAAAATCATTTCAGTATACAGCAAGAGGGAATTATTTAATCTATTTCATTTTAGACCTTCATAGAAGGTGCACTGTGATGTTTCTGCCCTTCTGAAATGGTTTCTCATTTGTAACATTTAAAGCTGTCCAGCTCTAGAACTGTGCTACCACTAAAGAGACAGAGCACAACGACAGAGTAAATAAGATAAAGAATTTATCTTTAAGGGAATGGAGTAACATGAACTTGAAATGTAAATAAAAATGTAACTTTAGAGGTTTTACAATCAAGTGGCATAACTTGAATTACACATTCAGTCTTTCATGAGTGTCATGGTTTAAACCCTGCTGGCAACTAAGCACTTCAGACCTGCTCACTCACGGGATGGCTGATAAACTAGAAAGGTAAAACTTAGAAAAATCATAGGCTGATTAAGAAAAAAAATAATAATTGAAATTTAAATAAATTTAATACTAACACTAATATAAACAAAAATTACAAAAACATGAGAAAATAAAACTCAAGAAAAACAAGTGATACAAGTGAAAAACAATTGCTCACCATAAACAAACCAATTCCCAAATGGTTCCCAAGCAACAGCTGCCCCCTGCTAACCTCCACCCCAGTTTTATTGCTGAGCATGGCGCCATATGTCTGAAACATCCCTGTCGTCAGCTGTCCTGGCTGTGCCCTGTCCCAACTCCTTGTGCGCCCCCAGCCCCACTCTGGTGGGGAGTGTGAGGGGCAGAAAAGGCCTTGACTCTGTGTGARCTCTGCTCAGCAATGGYTGAAACAACCCTGTGACATCAGCACTGCTTCCAGCACAAATCTGAAACACAGCACCATTCTAGCTACGTGAAGAAAATTAACTCTATCCCAGCCAAAACCAGCACAATGGGGAATACATTTAAATGTCTTGAGCTTTATAATACTATGTTCCAAGGCCAGCTTCTCCTGTTGGCAGTGTTTCCTTTCGATTTATTATTATAACAGAAGAACTTACAAGTTTTTACAAGTCTGTATACTGTATAGCTTCGGGGCTTTGTTTTGTGGTTTTTGTTTGGTTTTTTTTTTGTTTTTTTTGTTTTTTTTTAAATTTATTGATACATATGATTTTCCATAGTTTATCCTAGAATAACTTGATCTTGGGGTTCCTCCTTTGTTGTTGGAATAAAGCCTGTCCCTCTACAGATTTCCTAATTTCCCCCAAAATGTCTGCCTGTGCTCCCTGAACCCAATCAGATGTATTCTATTCCTCTAACAAGATTATTCCATTACTGAATCTCAGGGTGATTGAATGTTCAGCATCTGTGTGAAACAAGGCAGGGACTTTACAAATTGCAGGGTCAGTCTAACTAAGGGAGCCKGAATAACATCTGATCATAATTCAGCTGCCAGTGACTTCCTAGATGTGAACTGGAAGCTCTTGCTACCTGCATTCACCACTGTCAGGCAAACTTGCTACGGGAGTGCCTACCACAGAGTCACAAGCCGGATCCAAATGAGCTGCTGTACTTACACAGAATAATTTGGTGTTTTACCTTTACATTGGTAGAAATCCCAGAAGTGACACAGCCATCCATGCCAACTACCAAGAGCAAGTTCATATGGGTCTGTAAAGCAGGACTAAAAGAAATCACCAGAGAGCTGCCGTCTGCCTCCATCAGAAATGGAGATGAAGCAAGCACCTGTTGCCTGAAAGCGTTATTCTTGGAAGAACAGAAAATTGGAAGGACAGCACAAGGGAGACAGAACAGGATCTCATAGAGAAGGGCTAAGGTGCCAAGCAGGAGCTCAAGCCCCTGCTCAGAACCTGTTTCCACAAGGAATGAGAGACATAGTTCAGATGATTCCTTGCATACTCTGCATTCATCACCTGCCATTTATCAAAACCTACTCAGGCAAGCAATGTCTGAAGGTGAGGCCTGACCTTCAGTAAAAATAAGGCATGACAGGTGAATTCACCAAACCCTATCAACGGGACTGGAATGCAACAGAACTAGGAAGGTGTAAGAATATAGGTGCTGCACTCAGCTAAGAAGGCTCTGTCCATACAAGATTAAGACAAAGCCAAAAGGCAAAAGAACCATGTCGTTTCATAATATCTCTGTGCAGGATGGCAGAAGATTTGAAACTCGCCATAGGCAGCATGAGAAAAAGGTGATCTCATGCATGCAAAACCTTCTCTCCAGCTTTTGTAACCAATTACATTTCAGCAACATTGTTACTGACGTCAATGTTTGTATGTCACGATAAAAGTATTTTATAAATGTATTTTATTTCAGCTTTTTTCCTGTAAACTTCAGATAGAATAATCAAATATGATAGTTATCACATCCCTAGGGCTAGATTTAGTGAGTGTAAATAAAAATTGCTTTTAGGAAACTTTTGAAAATAACCACTGAAGTCTATTTGCAACAGAGTGTAGAAGAAAGCCAAATTGTATTTTGTTGTGGTTGTATTTTACCTAAGCAATACAGTTCTCTCGTACATAAAATTAATCAAGACTACTCATTAAATTAGAACAATTAAAAAAACCCAAAGAGTTGTTACAGTAACACAAAGGAATACACAGTGTATTAGTTATCAATGCTTTATTATTGAAAACAAAATTGAAATTCTTTTATCTGGCACATAAACAATTATTTCTACAAAAAGGAAAGCCTACAAATCTGATAATTTATACAAATAACAGTTTTTCAAAAAATAAAATTTTAATTTAGTAAACTTGTCTTGTGCTCTTTTTTTTTTTTAGCACTGTCTGCAATAATCCACCACAAATCCCTGAGCAGTGAGACATATTTTAAACATGTTTTAAATTTATCCCAAAAGAAGAAAGTTATCAAGCCCAGACCTATATTAAAAAAATGTATTCAGGGACATTCTTGGTAGGTTCATGGTAGTCCTTTTTTCTTTCTTTTCTTTTTCTTTGTTGTTTTTTTTTTAAGAAACAAACAAAACCAGTTATCAATGCAAGCATGACACTGTATCATAGGAGTGCTCCCTCTTCCCCCTTTTGTGTAATGAATAAAAGTTACTAAACAAGAATAAGTACAAGTTGAAGGAGACAAATAACCTGGTGAGTGGTTAAGACCAAGAAGCCATCGAAGTTTGATGGCTGTTGAGCAAATAAAGCTGCAGGATACCACAGTTCTATACCAAGCTCAGTTTCAATTACTATCTATTTCTATATCTTTTCCCAGAAAGTCAGTAAAGCAGGAGAATAAGTTCAAGCTACCATTGTATTCTAACAATGGTTTCAGCAATAAAGTAGAAATTCAACTTTTCATCCTTCAATTTTGCTTTTCTAGCAATAATATTATTTGAGAAAAACTTGACACACTCCATAAAACCCAACAATCTTGCCCCTCAGGCCCTTCTGGTGGGCCAGTTGTAAACTTAGCAACTTATGGTATTTTAGTGAGCAAGAAGAAAGTAAAGGAAACACACATTACTACAGTTTTTCTACTATACTGACTTTGAAACAGCTATTCCCCTATCTATTTCAATATAGTTTTAAAATCCAAGTGTAACAGGAGAATGACCAAGAAGGTAGACTATAACTCAAGTGCTCCCTTTCCCATTAGGTATGTACACTAACCACAAAAAAAAAAAAAAATGCAAGGAAAACCAAATACAAGAAATAGAAAGACTTAGAGACTGTTGTGTTAATGGCAGGTAACATTGCTGCAGTCAAGTAATAAATAAATAAATACAGCAAAGTGTTCTTCTCTACATTTTTGTCGGAATGGTGTTCAACAGTTAAAAAGGAATACATAAACTAGGAACCCCAAACCTCTTCTCAGTAATAAAGAGTTTTTAACAGAAGATCCTGAAGAAGCTTCAGTTCAAGGTGCTCTACCATTTCAACATTTTATCTATCATTATGTAAGGAATACTGAAGCAGATACCAAAGGGCTATTAAATGAAATAGTAAATTTTCTTACAGCAATAATACTTATTCCAAAGAAAGAAAGCAGTTAACAAATGGCCTGGGAAAAAATTACTAAAGCTTCATACACTTCGATTTAAAATAAATTATTTTTACATTTAAAATCTGAAGACTAAAACAGTAATGAGATTAAATCATTCTGAAACATAAATAAATTGAACCTCACCAAAAGTGTAGATATTTAACAGCTTTGCTGCTAGCATGTGTCAGAATACAAACAGAATGCTAATATTTTGTTAGAATCTGAATAGGTTTGTTTAAGCACCAACAATGTGAAAAGTAACTGGCAACCACCGTTACTCATTCCTCTTAATCTACACTATGTTAAGCATAATTGAGTCCCTTCAGTTATTTCCTAGCCTCATCAATGTATAACACTCCCTTTCCTCTGAGTTGCTCATGAAGTCTCATTTTAGCATATCCGAACACTAATGTTTTCAAATCTCATTTTAAGTAGTTATTGTAAAATATCATATGTAGAGTCCAACTTAAAAGTTGGACTTACCTGACAGCAAAATAAAGAGAGTTAAACACATTATTCTATAATACCAATTATTTTTTCCAAGATTACAGTCKGACGACACTGATTTGGTATCAGAGCAAATATCATTCTTGCTTGTATTGCTAAATCACAACTCTGGACTTTTTTTTACAAGCTTAATACCACATCTGATGTAGAACACAGATAGTTCCTTGGTGATTCTGTCTACCTCACAGAAATTTGACTCTGTATCTCAAGAAAACTGCACCGTAACAAACTGAAGTAACAGACATATCTCAGTAAACAACTTTGAATTCTGTAATCTAATTATGTGACAGGTTTGAAAAAAAAAATTGGCCATATAAAATGTTAAATGGGTAAGCAAGTGGTTCAAAAGTGAGATACAGCATCATTAAGACAAACTGCAACACACTGAATTTAGTACACATTTTAATGAGTTAGAGTATCAGCCAAATACTTTAACCTACTATTACCACTTTAACTCCCATATGGCTTAGTGTATACTGTGCAATTTTCCCTTTGTATGTCTATGACAGTATACATTTCAAGTATACACCCAACCAAAAGTAAGCAATAAGGGATTTGCAATTGTTTATCAAATATGCYGAAACAACTTCTCTCATCTGTGATTGTTCCAAATATTTTTGTTGTGTAACAAGTCCTTCATGAATACCTCAAAGTCTCCTTTTTTCTATTTATCTAGCAGAATAGCTTCTCCTAGCAGCAATTAGGACCTCTGATCCTTGCCGTCAAGTCCAACCCGTTCTCTGACCTGACAATTGTGTGGAAGTTTCTTGTTCATGGATTTAATCAACTTAAGAAAAAAAAGTTCAGTTTCTATCATCATGTTTTGGATGTTTTCAAACCTTGTTTCTCCATGATGTTCCACAATTTGCGAAGATTGGACTGGGTGATCACATCATCAGGTTTAAGTTGAAGAGCAAGGAGATAGTTTTCTTCAGCCTCTTTCAGTTTACCATTTAGATGGAGAATGGCTCCAAGATTCATTAGGGCAGCCGGATACTGGTATAAGTAAAAGGAAAAAAAAAAAAGGAAGGAGGAATATTAGGAATATTTTCAATTTTTCCTTTTAGATAATCTTCTTTCACTTAACCAAATTATTCCCTTACGTTTGCCAACTTTTCATGGAAGCAATTTAATAATTTAAGCAAATACAGATAACAAGAAGAAGTTTCTGAACAGCTGCTGTGTACTGTGTCCTTTAAACAGGTCAAGCTCTGGTGTCTACATACACAGACTTCTCTCTCTAATGAGGAAACACAGAACTCAGAAAGATTTAAATGTGGTAATGCTGGCGTAACACAGGTTCCAAGAGAAAATTAAAGTAATCCAAGAGTGAATTAGCAACAGGAATTTAATTTTAATCAAACTTATTGCAAATGAAGAGTTTATAATCATTGGGAATAGTTAACACATTGGAACTCATCCCTTTCTTCTCTTTTTCTTAATTGTAACTGGTAGAAAATACAATCTGTCCTCAGATTCTAACGAAGTTCAGGGTATTCTAGGATATCCATTTAGATTCAGGCTGTGGCAATTATTTCTTAATGAATGATTGAATAAAATTAACAATGGTGGAAACAYGTTATTTTAATAACAAAGACGTTAAAATTTTGTAACAAATCCATTTAAAAGCTTCTTATGTTACTAACATTTTTTTCACATTTAGCTAAAATGAAATGCTTAGCTTGCTCTTATTTTTGCATGTCTAGGTATTCCATTATGAAATAATAGGTTCCTCATGATAATAACATGCCTGGTCATTGAAGTTAAGAAATATTACAAGGACAGAAAAGAACATTCATGAAGCTGAAGAGAGCTGTCTAGCCCACCTTTTGGCAAGTACCAAAGGTATCCACACCCTAGTGAGAGCATAGTAAAGGCATTTGTCAAACCAGTACCTTGCATTTTAAAGAAAAGGGGGGGAAAAATACCACACAATGTTCACTATGGTTCTCCCCCTTAGGTCAGTCAAAGTTTCAATGAGCTTCATGAAAACTCCCTTTGGAAATCACGTAGTTTTGCCTCAGAGGGTAAATGTTTCAAGCCACCACTCAACAGAGTTCTGCTCAAAATACAATACTCAAAAAGTGAAGCCACATGGCATATCAGCTTCAGACTACTGTCAAGGGGTGTTGGAATGCTTTACAAGCCCTTCAGTGACAATAACTTCAGGAAAATGATTAGACACTGGAACAGAGAAGCTGTGAATGTCCCATCCTCTGCAGTGTTGAAAGCCAGGCTGAAGGGGACTCTGAGCAACCTCATCTAGGTGCCCCTGCTCATGGCATGGACGTTGAAATTGGATGATCTTCAAGGTCTCTTCCAACTCAAAACATTCAATGATTCTATGAAAGTGTATTAGGTAGAAGGCCAATAAAACATTCACTGTAGTTGGTCTCCAAGACTGATGTGGTAATAGGAAATCATTATGATGAGGAACACTTACCTTTGTTCCAAACCTCTCCATTACAAAGCTAAGCTTATTACTCATCCATTTTAATCAACTTCAACAAAATCCCTATAATTCTAATACCTAAATTTTGTGGTGGAAATGTTTTTCAGATAATTGAAATGTTTTATATCCCATAAATATTGCATACGTTTTCAGCTTTCTTCTTGCGTCTTTTAACCTATTGATATATGCATCACAAAAACTCATAAAGAAATGTAACACATCTCATTTTCAGAACAAATGTCTTCCAGAGTTTCAAAATCAAACAAAACAAAATTAGTACAGCTCTCCTTCTTGTAAACATCACAATGTTAATGCAGTAGAATCTGAAGATGTTTTCGTTAGATTTAATTTTTCTTGCTTTACCCTGACAGATTTTTTCTACCTTCCCTAAGTCAGTTACTTCGTTCTATTGAGAATCAAGCAAACAAAAAAACCCAGCTGGGTTTCATATAGTTTTGCCAGTAAAATACTCTCCAGAAGAAGGGAAAGTAGGCCCCTGAAATATAATCTATGCTAACTCATACTGGCAGCCACATTTTCATAGCTCCACCTTTGAAATGCCAGTCTTGCAAGCTGTTTTATAATGAAATAATATACTCCTTAATTACAGATGTTTTGGGTGCTAATTGATGGTATTAAAGTGAAGAATGCTTTGGAAATCAGCTCCCATGTATAAAGATGACTGTCTAAATATCCCCATATGTAATTTATTTTTAGACTTCAGATTTTTTGAAAGAATTTTCTCAAATCATGTGTAGGAATGTCCATTCCCTCTAGTCATGCTATCTCTTCGTCTACTGAGAGTTCATGAATGAAAGAACTTTCTTCAAGAGCACAGTTATTGACACAGAGCTGCCTTCTCACTTGAATTATGACTACATGTGTATGTTTGCACCGAGACAAAGCTCACAATGGATAAGCACTAAAACAATCTTAAACCTAGAAAAACCCATATAAATAAGACAGAAGTTTAAATGTGCTCAGGGCTAGTTCTACAGCATTCACAAAACCCACTGTGCAGGAAGTAACTCAGTTGTCTCATATGGTTTCCAGAATTCCTCTCCATACCCTTCTGAAAATATGGTGAGTGTATGGCACTAATTAAGTACTCCAAAGAACATCATATATGTAAGACTATGCCTAGCTAAGAAACTCTTCCACCATCATGGCTTTAATTTGATATATCATTCCACAAGAGAAAGCAACAAAAATAAATAAAATTAACAAACTGCATGCCTTTTAACTGAGATTCTCCAGCTTCTACACATCATTCCTGATTTCCTGGAGGCCTAACAAATTCTAGGCCATTAATGTTCTACACAAATATATCCACAGAAAATGTGAACTGATAAATAATTTCAGATAGTACTGAGAGTTCATTCCTACTCCTATACATGTCAAATAAGGAAGTGCCCAGCATTTTGGAAAAACTGCTCCCTAATTTTCTACGGTATCAGTCACCCCAGTATCTTTGGCTTACTGTAACAGTCACAAGAATTTTTTATGTTTGCAAGATTCTACATCAGTGTCATTGCTCTCTGATGGCTATAAAAGATGGTCAGAGGACAAGAGCACAAGAGACATTTGCTACAGTTTTTCTCCACATAGATTGTCTTTTATTAAAGTCAGCTGATAAAACTTTTCTTTACGTTAACAAAGACAGTCAGCAGCTACCACTGCAATAGCATAGGACTTGCAGCATTGTATAACAAATGACACCACCTACTACTTCAGAGACTTGAAAGGAGAAACAGGCCTGCCTTCATTTCCTTCTGGAGACAGATGCTTTACATCAAAAATAGCTGACTGGCATTTCTATTGAGGTTATAAATACTGTCTTTTATGGTCTATTTGGAATTATTCCCTTTATTAGCATTTTATCGTGGTGTGCTTGTTTCCTTAGTTGTTTTTTGGGGGTGGTGGGGGAAAGCACTCATGGGGAGGAGTGGAGAGGAATAACAGAGAAGTTAATGAATAATGAAATAACACAAGGCAAGCATTTAGATGCCTGAGGTGTTCTTGGTTTACATTGATGACAATTTTTTCAAATTTTCCCCAGAGTACCAAAATAAAAGGAGAGCACTGGGCCATGTAAAAATCTTATCACAAAGTCCTCTCTAAAATTACAGAACTACAGAATCTTCAAATAATACAAAAGGATTCTGAGCAGTATGTCAGGATTACACCAATGTAACCACATCCAGTATTGGACTCACAAACAGATTCAATCTTARTGATACAGAAGATGAACTGCCTCCTTGTTTGTCATCTCTGGCTCCACACATAGCAAATGCCACTGCAGAAATACAGTCCCAAACACAAGAAGACAATTTTATTCTTACACGGCCGAAGAAGTAATGGAGAGAGGAGCAAATACACAAACACTTAACCTAGCACCATTATACCTTTTGCATGGCAGACAAGTATGAAAAAATAACAGTCAAAACACAAGCAAGGAAATCAGAAATTGTTTTCCTCAAAGCTCTGCTTACAGATGACCTTCCCTGCTCAACACCACAGAGTTTAGGGCAGCAGATTCTGAGATGAAAGTGCATTTTGTCGATGCTGTGGTACTTAAAAGGAAATTATGGCAATTTTTACTCCAATAGAATCACAAGGACAAGACACTTCTCACCCATTTTAAAAAGTCACTTAAAAGATGTTGCCAAAATCCATCTTGCTCTTAAGGAATTACTGCTGTTTGTGATAATGCATTCTATGAGTTAAGTCCATACTTAAAGAAGGACGCAAAACATCAGTCATAAATGAATATGTAATGACAGCACTTTGAGTTCAAAAAGGGTGAAGAATTCAGACATTTCTCTTTGAGAATTGAAGACACATAGGTGTTACAATGACTGAGTAGTCAAACAGCAGAGTATTTTCTATAGGATGGCTCACTAGGCATGAGAGAAAGACATGGTGGACTGCTGAATCTGATCAGTGACCACTGGATAATATGCTGTCATGACCTTTTTTACCCTCCTACAGTGATGGCAAGAATTTTCTCTTGATCTTTTATTACTTGTATTATTGCTCCAGCACAGCACAGTATCTTCTGAAACAGTGTCTACAGCTCTTTTTTATCACTAAAGATAAATGTGGACAACAGGATCGTTACAGGGGTGCCACTTACTTTTGACAGATGTCACAACTTCTAAGAAAAACCATGACCTTGGAGTTGCTCAAGGTGGAAACATGCTACTTCAAAGCATGGTGTGGACAGAGAAGGTAGAAGGAGGAGCAGGGGATGGACATGCAGCAAGATGTTTGCTGCCAGCTGGATCTTACTCTCCAATGTAATAAACTGACAATACCATAAATTCATCAGTGGCACATGGAAGCAGACCTTTTTATAGGAGTGATCTGGTGTTCCCACATAAACCAAGTGGCAGTTATAGAAAGAGACTCACGTTTCCATGTGGTTCTCTACACTAGAAGGCTTCTAAAGAACTGCTGTTTGTATATGCTGTGTCTGGTATTTTGTCCCAAACTGCACAGGAACCACAAGACACTGATGTCCAGTAAGATGGCTAAGACAACA